AGCTACATTAAAATAACAGAAGGAAAAAGACGTTGTTTTATGCTTTAAAGCATCAGAAGTCAGCCAAATTTAGGCAAATGGGACGCCTTAAAAGCCGAAAGCTACGTGCATTCGAGCGATACTCCGCTCCTGCTTAGTTCGACAGGAGCGATGTTGTCGAACAAAACGAGACGAGACAGGAGCGATGCACGAAGTGACGACCAGCGCAATCGCCCGCGTCGTTCGTGCCTGCAGCGAAGTGTCCTGCGAACCAGTACTCTCATACGGTTCCAGTGCTTTAAAGGTATCTTTCACTTGCAACAACGTAAAGAGCCTCTTTTCATTCCCATAGCGCCGATTCCGTTGTTGCCTCATTTTTCGTAGTTGGAGGTCACATCCTTTATTGTTGACCAGAAATTACAGCTTTTAATTAAAGTATTCTCAGTAGAAATGCGAGTTTATAGTCTTAATTAGGGCAGAGCAGATACTGAGCCTTGCATTTGTTAATGAGATGGAGAGGGGTTATTTAAAATTCCACGAAATTCGCCGCTAATCGATAATTCAGGTGGGGGTACGGGAAGCCTGTTTTCAAAATTCGGAGCTGCTCAATGCGTTTTCGAAGCATTTCTTATTGAAATATTTCTGAGAACAAAAATATTGTCCAAATCCTACTTTCAGGAAGTAATTTTGGGACGATTTTTCCGTAAAACTGGCAGAAAGGCCCTAGCAGAAGAAGACTGAAGTGGAGCTTATATTGCCACTGATATCTAATGGCGCAGTGCAGATTGTTGAAGAAAGTCGCAGAATCAGTTCTTTGAAGTTTGTATGTTGTGAAAGTTTAGGCCACAATCATGTATAAATGTTTTGTCCGCTCTTGTATTCACTATTGTATATGAATTTTACTAATGTTATATATTTGTTTAGATGCATTCATACAGTTGTGTAATGTTTTATGTATGATATTTTTGTGTTTTGTATATATTTGCCATTTTTATTTTTTGTGGTTCCGTGCATTTTGTGCATCCTTGTTTTTTACGGTTCTGTTTTTCGTTGCTTTACCATTCTTTGTTTGTTTCTGTTTTTTCCAGTTGTTTCTTGGAATATAAATTGTTTCTTCTTTTCTCAGGACGCTTTTGCCTGCACAACAGGAATTATTTTTCTAGTTCGCTGTCTTCAAGTATCCGGTGCTCGAACTTTGAAAATAGAGGAATGG